ATGATAAGGTTCGACTTATGTTTCTTTATACCGGTTGGGTTCCATGTTAGTTTCGGCTGCAAGCCAAAGCGACACAGATTCAAAGCCTTGCTGCAAGCGACGGTTCAGGGGATCCACAACGGGGTTTTGTTTTGTTGGGTTCCAGAATAAGTATCTGTCTAACATATTCAAAATTGAGACTCAATATATAGTTTGAACATATGGTTTTGTTTGCTCTTTATGTTTTGAATGTTTTCGATGTGCTTAACATGTGTTGAGGATATGTTTTTTGTGTGTGTGTGTATGTGACTGTATGTGCTTAAAATTGTCTTCAGAATTTGTGCTTTGGAATTCATCTTGGACAAAATGACCCATTGAGTCAAAAGAGCTATTATGTAGCATCTTGCAACCATTAGTCACCATAAAGGGCATAATGGTTCGGAATTCCCCGTGTCACCCGCCATGGCTAACATGGAACTTTTGGATGAGCACTCAATGGCAGTTTGTGGGGTTCTGTGTTAGTAGGACCAGCAGCCAAAAAGTGTTCGAAAATGACCAAATTCGCCAGCGCCAACATGGCACCTACCTGGCACTTATCCCGCTCATGAATTTTGACATGGGTGCGCTAATGTGGAACCCAATTTTTGATTTTTGTTGTGCAACGTTAGTTTTCGGGAGAGTAACCCATCTGAAGGGGAAAGAGAATGGCTGAAAAAAACGACCCAAAAATGCTGAAATCCAGTGATCTGAACAAGCACTTTGCAACAAAGTGATTGGGTGGGTAGAAAAGACATGTGTGTTTGTCTGACATTTATAGTGAAACCTCCAAATCCCATAATTTATCATCATGTTCCACCATTTTCCTATAAGGTTGCCATTTTGGGGGGTATCACCCATGTTCACACAAATCCACATGTTTCATATTTCTGGTTCTATGAAGTGGTATATCCCATCATATCCGGTAGAATATAATATATGCACGTTATTCCATATATATATGGTCCCGTCCTCCGTCTCTCCACCCCCCCCCCCCATGGGTTGGGTCCCCAGGTAGTAGCCCCAATTCCCTTCTATTTGCAAGCTATTGGCAGCATTTCTGAGGTCCAGCGTCGTATTTGCTAGGTCTTTGCAGCATTTCTGACTACCAGCCTCGCATTTACTAGGTACATGCTACCTTTTAGGCGACCTACGTAGCACACATACTCCTTCAAAGTACCTACGTGCTACCTATAGTCATACATACATGTGCTATGTATCTACTGTATCTACTTCCTGTTTACTACCTGTGTACTCTGACAACACTACCTCTGTTGAACATATACCGTACCTACCATACATGTCAATGATGCCATGCATACCATACCTATCATATCTATCATACATACCATACATACCATACATATGAAATGTAATTACCACACCTACCATACATACAATAGCATACATACAATAGCAAGCATACATGCCATACATACCATACCTACCTTAGATAGGACATATTCCATACCCATCATAGTAACCATACATACCATACAGACCATACATACTGTCATATCAAACATACCATATCCAACAGACTTACATACCATACCTACCATCCATACAATACCAACCACTCATGCCATACATACCATACCTACCATACATACCAAACATACCATACTTTCCAAACATGCCATACCAGACCGACCATACACACCATACATACCCACCATACCATACCACACCCCCACCACACCACAGGGGGGGGAGGGGGACAGTGCCACACCCCCACCACACCACAGGGGGGGGAGGGGGAAGATCTCATATGGGACCAGTATATGGGACCCATCCACCACACCACAGGGGGGGGAGGGGGACAGTGCCACACCCCCACCACACCACAGGGGGGGGAGGGGGAAGATCTCATATGGGACCAGTATATGGGACCCATCCACCACACCACAGGGGGGGGAGGGGGACAGTGCCACACCCCCACCACACCACAGGGGGGGGGGGGGGAAGATCTCATATGGGACCAGTATATGGGACCCATCCACACACCCACAGGGGGGGGAGGGGGGGGGTGGCAGGGCCTGGTGCATATATATATATATATATATCCCCGTTGTAGTTGGCGGTACACCCCCATGCGTTTGTTGCTTAAATCCGCAATTCAACATGAGCAAAGCGGAGCAACGCCTGCAAGTTCCACCACTTCGACTGTAGCCCCGCTTTGTTCACGGTCGTGGTGGTTGGCACCATTCGCACTGGGTGATCCTTGCAGCTGGCGGCTGCTGTGGTTGAGACAGCATTTCTGTTAGCAAGACAGTGATTGGAAATCATCATCATCATCATCATCATCATCATCCCGTTTGTTGGAATCAAAATGAATCCAATTCAACCATGAGTAAGACATGTTAAAAGTCAGAAAGAAGCCATTGCGCAGGTCGAAATGCAAAGCCGTGGTTTTTATCGAAGCTCATGTTGCAAAGAAAGCAATGCACAACTGGTGGCTTTGGCGCTCTTGAACCCTTAACTG